CACTGGGAGATTCCTTCATCCACATAGTTTAGCGTAGATGGAGAAGGAATCTGTTGCACTTTTTCCATCTGACCATAGAAAATCTGCAGATAATCTACAGTTTAGGTGTATGGCCAGCTTTAGCCTAAATAGACTGCTGGACACTTCTCCAGATCCTGATTAATGGGTTAGTGTGTCTGCTCATGCCAAGGAATTGGGTTTGTCTGACTTCTATCTGACTGCTCATACCCTGAATTATTTCTAATAATTGCTTGGACTACATTTACACTTGTCTGTGCTTATCCTGCTCATTGACCTGTTACCTCTCTATTGATAGTCATTGCTGTATTTAATTGTCTGGAACCTGAACTATGTGTAGGATCAGTCTATTTTTTCCTGATCTGGCCATCAGCCTACCGTGTTTCCCCGAAAATAAGACAGTGTCTTATTTTTTTTTTTGCACGAAATAAGACACTAGGTCTTATTTTCGGGGGATGTCTTACCTGGCTGGGGGAGGAGTGGACGAGGTCCCGGAAGGCGGCGTGCTGTTGCCGGTCCCGGCGGATGTCGCTTCCATTGTGCGTCCAGGAGCTGCGGGCGGGAGCTGCGGCTGGCGTGTGGGCGGGGCAGGAGCTGCGTGCGTGCGGGAGCTGCGGCCGGTGGGCGTGCGTGTGGGCGGGGCAGGAGCTGTGGCCGGCTGGCGTGTGGGCGGGGCTGGAGCTGCGGCAGGCTGGCGTGTGGGCGGGCGTGTTGGCGGGGCGGGAGCTGCGGCCGGTTTTTACACAGTTATGTGCCGCTTCCCCGAAAGTAAGACCTAGCGGATCTCTGTAATATAAGACCTACCACCGAACTAGGTCTTATTTTCGGGGTAGGTCTTATATTACAGAAATCCCTGAAGATAGTGCTAGGTCTTATTTTCGGGGTAGGTCTTACTTTCGGGGAAACACGGTACTTACTTTGGTGCTGACTTGTTGCTCTGACTATCTGTTTGGGGTCTTACATCCCTCTGCATTTGTTAAGTCAGCTGTCATCCCTGAAATGTATTCATTCATTCAGATTTGTGAAGTTACTGAAATATCCACTTTAGGTATTTTATTTAGCTTTTTATTAATTATCAAGTTCGTTGTTTATGCTTACATACATGTTGTCGTTTGTCATACATCTATGATATAGTTCAGATGATGATTTTGAGAACTCTTAGTGCTCATTCACACCATGTGTACCAAAATCCATTGTTCCCAATAGGCTCCATTTTTACCAATGTTACATAGTATTTGAGGTTGAATAAAGACACAGGTCCATCAACTTCAACCTATTGCATATATGTATGGGATTCTGCATGTGTATGCATGTGTATGAGTCCTTGTGTGATCTTGTTTTTTATACGGTAAGCTGTACCCCTGTGTGTTGCGGTCTCTGAGGAAATTGTCCAAATGCTTTTTGAAGGATTATAAACTCTCAGCTGATTCCATTGGTTGTGGCAGCTTGTGTTGCGTTGGTGTGCACATTGTGAAAATGGAGCATACTGTATGTAAACGCACTGTGACGTGTTACAGCACATTACCGCGAGCTGCAACAAATGTTAAGGAAAGAAAAAAATTGTATTTTGGCTCCTTCTGTGAACACAAAAAATTGCACATGCTGTAAATGCAGTGCATTAAAAAAATGAACCCACTCAATGCGTTAAAAAAAATGTCAGCGCAATCAACTCAAGTGCAACCAGGGTCCAGGGAGTCCCACTGACCACCAGGTAAGTTAAAAAAAATTTTTTAAATCCCAGAAAGATAAAATAAAACTTTTTTTTTTTTAAATACTCACCTGATCCGATCCACCGACAAGCGCAGCTGTCAGAATATGCATACAGAGCGTGTCGGTAACTATTTAAACCGGCACACTGTGTGCAGCTTCTGAGAAGATACCCTATTAGCATATCGGGAACCATGCAAAATGTGCAGCCGGCTTCCCCGCTACGCTAATAGCGTATCTTCTCAGAAGCTGCACACAGCACGCCGGTTAAAAATTTTACCGACACGCTCTGTATGCATATTCTGGCAGCCTGAGAGACGGGAGTCTGCGCTTGTCTGTCGTTCCCGGGATCAGGTGTTGAAGCAATGCAGAATGGCACCCTCTATAGGAGAACTACAAATCTCAGCAGTAATTTATACAGAAATGCTATTGTTATATAAAGTATTGCTGCGATGTGTAGTCCTCTATAGCCTGTGCCATTCTGCATTGCTGTAAATATTAGGGATGCACCAATATATCGGCCGCCAAAACATATCGGCCGAAAATGGCACTTTTGGCTAAATGCCGAAAGTGTAATTTTTCTGCCGATACATCGGCGCATCCCTGCTTTCTTTCCTCCTAGGAAATTGTCCAAATGCTTTTTGAAGGATTATAAACTCTCAGCTGATTCCATTGGTTGTGGCAGCTTGTGTTGCGTTGGTGTGCACATTGTGAAAATGGAGCATACTGTATGTAAACGCACTGTGACGTGTTACAGCACATTACCGCGAGCTGCAACAAATGTTAAGGAAAGAAAAAAATTGTATTTTGGCTCCTTCTGTGAACACAAAAAATTGCACATGCTGTAAATGCAGTGCATTAAAAAAATGAACCCACTCAATGCGTTAAAAAAAATGTCAGCGCAATCAACTCAAGTGCAACCAGGGTCCAGGGAGTCCCACTGACCACCAGGTAAGTTAAAAAAAATTTTTTAAATCCCAGAAAGATAAAATAAAACTTTTTTTTTTTTAAATACTCACCTGATCCGATCCACCGACAAGCGCAGCTGTCAGAATATGCATACAGAGCGTGTCGGTAACTATTTAAACCGGCACACTGTGTGCAGCTTCTGAGAAGATACCCTATTAGCATATCGGGAACCATGCAAAATGTGCAGCCGGCTTCCCCGCTACGCTAATAGCGTATCTTCTCAGAAGCTGCACACAGCACGCCGGTTAAAAATTTTACCGACACGCTCTGTATGCATATTCTGGCAGCCTGAGAGACGGGAGTCTGCGCTTGTCTGTCGTTCCCGGGATCAGGTGTTGAAGCAATGCAGAATGGCACCCTCTATAGGAGAACTACAAATCTCAGCAGTAATTTATACAGAAATGCTATTGTTATATAAAGTATTGCTGCGATGTGTAGTCCTCTATAGCCTGTGCCATTCTGCATTGCTGTAAATATTAGGGATGCACCAATATATCGGCCGCCAAAACATATCGGCCGAAAATGGCACTTTTGGCTAAATGCCGAAAGTGTAATTTTTCTGCCGATACATCGGCGCATCCCTGCTTTCTTTCCTCCCCGCTGGGCACTGCTCTGTGTTCCAGCGGGGAGGAGAGAAAGTTTTCAGAGACAAAAAAAAAGGGCTGACGTCAGTGGCGAACCTAAGGAACAAAGGTCCGCCACTGACATGATTTTTTTTGGGGGGGGCTCAAAAAAAATCTTGCACCAAGGACCTTTGTTCCTTAGGTCCGCCACTGACATCAGCCCTTTTTTTTGTCCCTGGAAACTGAGCCTGGCATGCGCAACGTAAAGTACAGACTCCACAGGATTCTCTGAGACAAAGTAACTCCCGTGCGCATGACATCACAGAGCTAGAGGGGATTACTTTGACAAGTAAGTCAATAATGTACAAATATGTTGTACATACTAGGACATTATTGCTAAGGCTGGCTTTACACCTAGGCGACAGACTTTTCGCGCGTTACTACGTGCATTTTTGCGTGATTTTTGAGAATTTTCACACATGGTTTATGCGCATAAAGCAAGTCACGCGTTTTTGTGAGCAGATTCTAGCTCATTGATGTTAATGGGCTGATGCAGGTTAAATGCGCGCAAAAACCTGCAAAAACCCACCAAACACACGTTTTCATTAGTTTCCCATTCAGTCTATGGGGCCAAAACAAGCTGTAATATGCCAGAAAAAAAGCTCATTTACTTTTTCCAGCGACAGGCGTTTTGCTTAGAAATGAACTGGATTTTTTGGGGGGCATACTTTTTGAGTGTTTTTTTTAGAGCGTGTTTGGAGTGCCATTGAAATGAATGACACTACAACGCACCTCCCACAGCAGAATTTCTCAGGCTGAAACCGAAAATGACTTTTTTCCCCACCTTTTTTTCTTAATAATTGCATTGTAAGCACATGCATTGAATAGGTTCAGCCAGGGAATGACAGCTGCCAGTGGCAAGATTGGCTATTGCACCCGTCCACTGCTTGCCATGGAAGAGAGAGCTAGGGGATCCAACCAACTAATCGATAATGAGAATAGTTGGCAACTATTCTCATTATCGATTATTTTCGATTTAATCGTTTAGTTGGCTGCAGCTCTACCAAATTAGTAAACTAAGCATGAGATTGTAGTCCATCACGGGAGTGAGCTTGCAGCGATGACTACTTTGCAACACACACAGGGACCATGGGGAGCAACAGTGGCCACCCTCCAGAAGGAAGGACAGTGTCAGCACCAATTCAGAGATGATTTGAGGATCTACAGACGAATGATACACAAATACGATACATTTGTGTTAATAGTTAGGGTACTTGAATGTATTTTTAAGGTTTACCTTGGAAGTTTAGTGTCTGCCCTCAATCTGTCTACTAATTGCACATTGGAAGGTTTTCTGATGAAGTTCATGCTGCCTGTAGTGTTCTGTGCATAATCATCTTACAAATAAACAACTAGAAAGGTGAGAAATATTTTTTGTACTATTTTTAGTGTCATTGGAAACACACAAACATAGAATGTTGTGGGGTCCTAAATTTGACTGCAAACTAGGAACTATAGCTCCTATGTGGCTCACTAACCAGCTACAGGTCACTAATAAAATCCTCACAATGCAATCATTCATTGCACCTGATCAAACAAGAACATTCTCTGTATATGTGAGCTGCTCCGAACGTTCAGAAGAACAGTCAGTACAGCTCATCAGAATCCTGCATGGTGCTCAGCTCCAGCACGGCTCCTGGAGGATTATGGCTGCAGTCACATGACTGTGGGGTCAGCTGACACGTCTCGTGAGCTGTAGGAGAGTGCTGGGTCACTGCAGACAGAGGAAGGCTGAGGACACCCATATATACAGAGCATAGCTGAGGACACAGCCAGACACCATGGAGGGCTCAGTGCTGACTGTACTACTGCTCTGTGCTATGGTCCTGACAGGATCAGCAATCATCAGGTATGTGCTGGATGATCCCAATATACAGCTGTCATTGTGTAACAGTACACTGCTTGCTGTGTGTGTATATGTAATATATATTTATTGCAGTACAGCTGAATGTATAAAGTATTATTATATTTGATACAATGGGAGGGACCTGGATATATAAAATCTACATAACTAGATTATTTAACATGATTCCACAGCATAAATACATAAACATATATTTATATTAAAGCTCATGCTGTAGATCCATGTTAAATAATATTCTAGTTATGTAGATTTTTATATATCCAGGTCCCTCCCGTTGTACAGCTGAATGTATAAAGTATTATTATATTTGATACAACGGGAGGGACCTGGATATATAAAAATCTACATAACTAGAATATTATTTAACATGGATCTACAGCATGAGCTTTAATATAAATATATGTTTATGTATTTATGCTGTGGAATCATGTTAAATAATCTAGTTATGTAGATTTTATATATCCAGGTCCCTCCCATTGTTTGTGTCTAGGGAGCAAAATAAGTGATACTACCCCTGATCCCCAGAGACGGCCGGCTCTTAGAGTGGTCCTTGGTAGTGATGGGCTCGGGCGTGTACGCAGCTCCACGTGCCGAGCCCGCATAGTGGAATTTATCAAAACTGGAGCAGCTGTGCATGGCAACCAATCGGCATCTCTCTTTAATTTTCAAATCTTAACTGAGCAAACTGAAGAGAGATGCTGATTGATTGGTCTCCCACCCCCCATATAGTGTAAAGGAAGCATGTGCTTAGAAAATACATAGGCTGCCATTACGGAACACTCTTGTTCTATATAATGTCACCATATTTGCATTTACAATGATCACTCTGCTATATGTTCATGGTTAACAAAAGCATTTGTGTGGTGGGGGTTACATTCGTGCATCGCAGTTGTGGTGCAGGATGTTTTAGAGAAAACATTTTTTACTTCTGACTTTGCAGTACTTTTCATACCCATTGAGGCTGCAAAATGCATGCCAAAGGAGCAGCAAGCAGGATATTAGATTAAAGAGTTGGGGGTCCTGGTTCAAATCCTGACCAGGTCACGATCTACAAGGAGTTTGCATGTTCTCCCTATGCTTGCGTGGGTTTCCTCCGGGTACTCTGCTTTCCTCCCACACTCCAAAGACATGCTGGAAGGTTAATGGGCTTTTTTCTAAAGTGGCCCTCGTATGTATGTATGCACGTGAGAGAGGGACCTTAGATCGTAAGCTCGTTCAGTCAGGGACTGATGTGAACATGCAATGTGTAAATTGTTAATAGATCAGGAGTCCTGACTGAATCCAATCTGCTTGAGTATCCCCGGTCAGTGATGCAGAAACAATTAAAAGAAGAAAAAAAAAAGCAAGTCCTAGGGCTCAATGGCAGTTTTGCAAATATTAAATTTAGGGCTTGTTCACACCATGTCCAGACCAGAACAGTTTTGTTCCCGGACAAAAAAAAGCATCACAATGAATCTCTATGGTATTTTCAGGCTCTGTTCACACCAGCAAAGTCTGTTCCGGACAAGACAAAAAAAATACTGCTCGTCTCATTTTTCTCTAGTTTGGAATGCATGCGAACACACTGGAACGCACCTGAAAGCACTTTTTAAGCTAAAAAGAGTTAAGTTAAAAAAAAAAATCGCGGTGACAACACAGCAAAACACAATGCACCGCGTCCCAGATCTGGTCCAGAAAATGGTGCGCACCTAGCCTTAGTCATGATGCCTGGTGTGCACAACAATTGATGAACGGTTACACCAAAGTGAATGTATTTAGAAAAAAAATATACCTCATTAGAATATGTGTATAGATCATGTTATGTATGAATACTTGGATATTTAGAGTTATATATTGTTACTTGGATATTTAGAGTTATATATTGTATCAGTGAATATACAAACATATCCCATGCAGGGTTTGGTTTGAATCTATGAATGTATCATTTTTAATATTTAAAACAAAATACATTTTGATATTTTTAGTATATCTCTCTCTTGGACGGTCATTTACACCCCTCCATAAACCCTTATACCCCTCTTTCTTCTTGAAATCTATTGAATCTAGGGGGAGAGGTGTATACTAGGTTCCCACAGGGAGACAGCCCATGATTTAGTAATTTGCTGAAAATGAACGATTTGTTTTTCCCAGGATACCTCTGACAAAATTTACTTCTATACGGAGGACACTTACTCAGTCTGGTGAGGATTTGACAAAGCTGATTGGAGATGGATACAACAAATATTACCCTGGTTTTCCACCAAATGGAGGCCCCACACCAGAGACACTAAAGAATTATCTGGATGTAAGTATGATGCTATAGCTCATTTTGCCAAGCTTCTTCATCTAGCTTTGTGTTGGCTTTCAGGCTCTATGTATAGTGGTTTAGTGACTAATTCTTCCGCCTTGCGGTGGTGGCTTGTATGGTGTTTGTGAGATCTTTCTTTGTGGTGTGGCAGCGGTGAACGTGAGGTGGGAAGGAGGTGCGGCGCGCAGCGTGTGTGGAGCCGTGAACAGGGCCAACTGATCGGAAGCCGATTAATCAATTATTGAAAAAGATCGATTATGTCGATTTAGTTGTTGCAGCCCTAGTAGGCACGCAAGTGTTGATGGTGAAGTACTGCAGATTATGTCAGCACTATAGAAAGTAGAAAAAAAAAAATATATGGATGTATCACTGTTCAAGTTATAAGGCTAGGGTCACACCTGCACGATAACCCTGGGACGCGCGTGCTGTCCTGTACAATGCAGGCAGCGATTGCCACGTGGCCCCATTGATTTAATTGGGGTGACATCCGCGCATGAAATCACAGAAAAAAAAAGGTACAAGTACCTTCTTTTTGCGATGCATGGCATGCGGCTGTGTTCGGAAGCACGGGCAGAATTGTGGCGGGAAACTGCGCAGTCTGTACGGCGCGACTGGGGTGCCATTACAAAATAATGGCACCCACAGCGCGATCGGTTCACACCTTGGCGACTCCTGACCGCATGGAATCGTCCACGATTGCCGCGCGGTGAGGTGTCGCCTAGGTGTAAACCTAGCCTAAAACTGATTTTAAAGGATCCCTTCGTCATGGGTAGCTGATTCTCTAAGTAGTAAGGGGGTCAAGCTGCCAATGTTAAAAGAACTGCTGGCACCTTGAAGATTAACAATAAAGATGCAATATTTATTGTGGATAAAGCGGAGAAAAGGTCCCTGTGCAATCCAAAAATGTAGACCGCTTTTATATGCTGTATAGTATTTGTAGTCTCTAAGCCAGCACATTGGGAAAGCTAAAAAAAAAACGTCCAAAATCGTTATGTGCATATCTGTGCAAGGTCCGTAACTAAAGTAATAACGCAAGAGGGTTACATTCCATTAGCATATCCAGAGGGAGTTGCCAGCAAAGACAGAATCTTTGCTTCCCTTCTGACAGGTTTCATTTTGAGCCACTGGGAAACTTCTTCGAACATGTTTATGAAGATATTGATTAGAATTTAGCTGCAATTGAATCTTTACCAGTATTGCATGTTAACGGCTCATCTGCCCTTTCTCTTTAGGCCCAGTACTATGGTGAGATTGGCATTGGGACTCCTCCTCAGCCATTCACAGTGGTGTTTGACACAGGATCATCTAACCTCTGGGTGCCCTCCATCCACTGCTCCCTGCTGGACATTGCCTGCTGTGAGTACCATTTTATTTTTTTACTGTCCTCTTGTGTATTTGGCATCTATTTTTAATTCATTTAATCTCATTCTGCATACTCTGATACTCTGGCCACTTAAATGTGGATATCCACTTTTTTAAGAAAGAGAAATACTTTACCAAGTTACTTTATATACAATTAAAGTATTTTAGCAAACATCAATGCAGACTCTTCAACTGCTGTCCGGTTGACACTCACACATGCATTCAACTCAATTCTTGTGTATAAGGTGGGAGGTTCTGTCTGCTGTAGTCATATGTTAACAGAGCGAAATCTAAATGGCTTAGATTTCCTTCATTTTTCTCTTACAATCACTTTAAGCTACAGAGGTCTTTTGTAATGAACATAAAAATAGCTAAACTAAACGACAATTATAAATGGTTCCCTATTTGTTTTAAGAAGTTACCTTTTTAAACATGGGTTTCACCTATTGCACTTATTTACCCCATCAACAGCCGCACTAAACTATTATACTTTTGGGGGAAGAATAGTAATTATGCCTCTCCTATGTTGGACTAGCTTAGGCTGCGATTGACTCTCCTAGCTGTGGACTAGGGTTGCCACCTGTCCCGGATTCACCTGGACAGTCTGGGTTTTGAGTCCTGTATGTGCCGTTTCAGGCCAGCTGCAACCAAGACACAGCACATACAGGACTCAAAACCTGGACTGTCCACGTGAATCCGGGACAGGTGGCAACCCTACTGTGGACATTGGCTCAGTGTGGGTGTTTTTTATTTTCTCATATGTTTTAATTTTAAGGGATTCTGAATATTTGACAATTTTTGGACCCATAGGTCCAAATAAAGGGTACTGTTATGCCTACATTATATTTTATATAGAGTGGAGATTTTAGCTCTAACATTGCTTGTATTTAAGTGCTAGGAGTAGCAAATAATGATTTCAGAAATAATACTTTTGACTCCTGATGGAGCAGGCTATAAAAGTGGCATGCAGTAGCAATTAACCCTGCATAATCGCACAATTCTCTATTCATGTGCAACTGGTTACTGCAAAATGCTACTTGCGTAGCCTGCTACATAGGGAGCCAAAAGTAAATTGTTAAATAATTTGCTACACCAAGCAATTCATTTTACTAGCAATTTTGGAGATAATAAAATGTTCCTGTGTAGCTCTGGCCTATTCAGGTGACTGTCAGCAGATAGTTAAATCTGGTAATGGCAAGAAATTAAAATCACCTATGTAGCTTTTTGTTGTAGATGTGTCTATGATGAATGTGTGCAGTTGTTGTATAACTGTTATAAATTGTAATATTTGGGTTTTAATACAGAGTATCCATTTTAATTTCAGTAATACACCACAAGTATGATTCTTCCAAATCCTCCACCTATGTGAAGAACGGAACAGATTTCTCCATCCAGTATGGCAGCGGGAGCTTGTCTGGGTACTTGAGTCAGGACACTGTGACGGTAAGATCTTCAAATGTACTGAAGTCTGGGGTGGAAAACACTTGGCCTCAGGATAAAAACATTTTTGGCTCATGCTAGGAATTCGAATTCCAGCAGTTACTGTTGAAGAGCAGCTTATAGGATGAACAATTTTAAGAAGCCTTTTTTTTTTTTTTTGCTATGGATGACACGTGTTTTCACATGGACAGGACAGGTTTTACAATAAATGTTCACTGTTGTACTCACTGGTCTCATTCCCGCCTAATATTTCCTCAGATTGGAAACCTGGCTGTGAAAGGACAGCTTTTTGGGGAAGCCATCAAGCAGCCTGGTATTACCTTTATTGCAGCCAAATTTGATGGGATATTGGGCATGGCATACCCACGAATCTCTGTTGATGGAGTTCCTCCCGTGTTCGACAACATCATGCAACAGAAGCTGATCGAAAGCAACATATTCTCCTTTTACTTAAATAGGTAAATTGTGTACTTCCAGTATAAATGTTTTTGTCCTGTATGAAATTTCACCCCGTGTGTGTGTGTTATTGACATGTCTATGTTGTTCTTTATATCGAGAGTAGCCAAACTTTGGCTCTGCAGCTGTGGTGACACAAAAAACCCCTTTAGACCTTGTAAGACTCTTACAGCTACAGACATAATTCCCAGAGGCAGATGGATGATGGGATTGTAATTTCACCACAGTGTAGTGAACTGCCTATTACTAAATGAACAATAGATCTAGAAAAGCACATAAAAGGATTAATTAAAGCCCAGGCAGGTAAAAATATGTACCCGTTATACCTGAGTTATGAAAAATAAGATTTATAATATTCCTAGTATAAGGACATGAAACCTGTCTTTTTATATCAGCTTACTACAGTCCGCTGCTAGAGGCCAAGCTATACAATTAAAAATTTAATACAGCAGTGGGGAGCACTAACTACCCTTTGTCACACCCAGTATGGGTGGAGTGATCAAGGAAGCAGAATTGGCCATTTTGTTTGTAGTCAGCCAAAAAAAATGGCCAATTAAATTTTTTTTTTTCTTTCAGGTAAGAATGTTGTACTGTACAAATTAGGGATGCATGTAGGTATTACAGTAGTAGGGTGTGTACGTATCTAAATATGTCTATTATATGTGGTTTTGTTTCAAGTTGTGCTTTAAGCCAAATGCCTACTTTCACTGTGGCGATAGAAGATGCAGCACACTTGCGCCAGTGGTGGGACCTGTATGTATCAAAACATTAGACTGATGCAATAAAATAGCAAGATTTAAATTAATTGCGCATCATGGCCTGTCACTGCGATGGGTGTCACTGTACTTCAGTGGGCACAACAGTGTTGGACACTATTAAATATTTGTATGCATAGCGAGGAGCGTAAAATGGGCATGCCTTTGGTAGTGTTGGAAAAACAAATGTGTGCCATTCTCCTTCACTAGGCACAGCAATGTGGATCACCTTTTTACTATGCAGCAATAAATGTCCCATCTCCTTCACTGGGAAAAGCTCTGGGTTTCACTCTTAAGCCGCGCCAGCCAAAGTAATTGCTCTTATCCCATTACATTCTGTAGAGATGGATTGCACCCTTCGTCCTCACTGGGCTGTACAATGGTTTCAACTCATGACATGACCACTGCATACAAGATATAAGTAACCGTCTGATGTCTACAGGAAGGAGATACACACAGGGTAGATTAGTTAATTGGAAAACTGTGTTTTTTCCATTAGTGATGTGTCATGGGCATTTTTAATCACATGTTGACATCTTTTACTTTCCTGCCTTGGGAGGATGTAGTTGTAAATGGTGCAGGATGCTTTACACAGATTACTATCTTTTAGTTTTAACATGAGATGTGCTTACATTCCAAGTAACATTGGCCTGGGGCATAATGTAAATTCTTTATCTTCCTTTTAGGAACCCAGAATCCCAGCCTGGTGGCGAGCTGTTACTAGGTGGTACGGATCCCAAGTATTACACTGGAGATTTCAACTACCTCAACATCACCCGCAAAGCCTACTGGGAAATTCATATGGACCAGTAAGTAGCAGCGTTGCTTTCCTTTTTTTTGTAGTCTTTCTGCTCATCTGATACACTATTGGTTTATTTATCATATCTGATTTTCATTAGCTTGATTTAAAGTGCTTTTTCATACTTCTGCTTTTTCTAGATGTCTTGATAGTAGCTTGCTAGAACATGAACCCACATCAACTCTAATTGCTTACAAAGTATGAAAGCTTTCTTCTGCATCTGAATATAGCACTGATGTTTTTTTTTTTTCTTTTTAACGGATGGGGTAATGTAGTGAGGGAAAGGTTAATTTAATGAAACAAGGACATAAAAGGTGTGTCTTCAGCTTGCAAGTCTAATTTGCCCACATTTCTTGTGGTTTCTGTTTGGGTGCAGAACTTGCCTGTTCCTAAAAATGGATTTGTTGATCAGTCAGGTAAAATGGATATTGACGTTTGTTGCTGTTTGCAGGATGAGTATCGGCAAACAACTCACTCTATGTAAAGGAGGCTGTGCAGCCATTGTGGACACTGGAACATCGCTGATCACTGGCCCAAAGGATGAAGTGGTGGCACTGCAGAAAGCTATTGGAGCTATACCTCTAACTCAGGGAGAGGTAAGTTATCATCACTGACCTGTAATGTGAACACAGTATGCTGACATGTTCTGTCTTCGGCTGCCAATGGTGACCAGCCGGTAGAAGTACAAGGAGCAACTCGGAATATTACTGTCCTTGCCTAGATTGCTAACTTGTAAAGTGCAAACCTCCTCCATCTGACCTGTATGATGTCCCTGTGACCTTGCATTGTAGATATTGTGCTTTAAATTTGCTTTGTCCATCTGATTTAAAAATCTACGCGTATTCCACCAATCTGATACACAAACCTGACCAAATAGCTTTTTTTTAAAGCATATTTGTCACCCCCTATTTCAAATTAAGTCAGCCCATGAGCTGGCAGCAGAATTTGCCTGCTGTTACCTTATTAGCCACCCTGGTTTTTTTTTTTACTTAACCACGTAACTTCTGATAGATTTTGCCTAATGCTGGTCATACTGGATGGAGATTTCTCCATCCAGTATGGCAGAGGGAGCTTGTCTGGGTACTTGAGTCAGGGCACTGGGATTAGCTCAAATGTCAAATGTCAGATGACAAATACATACTGTACAAAAATCCCCACGTATGCTCAATCTCTTATGCGTTTCACCATTCACCAATCCCTGCTGAACCAGCTGAGATTTGAGCTGTGGTGGCCGTGTAAATGTGTTAGCCAAATAGTGACTGTATTCAATCGGATGTAGTCACTGTCTGGTATTAAGACAGCCGCAGATGCTGTCTTAATACATTATCCAACAAGGGAGATTCCTAAAGAGTGGATGGAGAAATGTTTACATGTATGGCTAGCTTTAGACCGATCCCATTAGGAACTAGGTTCCATCCACAAATACCCTGCCTAATGGACACATCTCAGTGGCAAAATGGGGGCTCTCAGTGGGCCTGGCTTACCTCCCTGCAGCAGGCTGTTTCTTCCAAATTAAGTAATGAGTTATTTAATGGCAGACAACTTTATATTTGCTGTTAGGGAGGACTTAACATTTAAAGTGGCTGCCGGTTCACTTCAAAATGGAACGCCAGCCAAAACCACATGTATGGCTAGCTTTAGACCGATCCCATTAGGAACTAGGTTCCATCCACAAATACCCTGCCTAATGGACACATCTCAGTGGCAAAATGGGGGCTCTCAGTGGGCCTGGCTTACCTCCCTGCAGCAGGCTGTTTCTTCCAAATTAAGTAATGAGTTATTTAATGGCAGACAACTTTATATTTGCTGTTAGGGAGGACTTAACATTTAAAGTGGCTGCCGGTTCACTTCAAAATGGAACTCCAGCCAACACCTTTTTTTTTTTTTGCGCTTTTTCTTTGTTCGGCACTGCGTGCAGAAGGGCACGGAACTCTGTCAAGGTTTTACTGCTGCTCATGCACCCATTAGTAAGCTTTCCTCACCTCCCCAGTGTGGTCAGCAGAACAGAAAAGGAGGAGAGTCTCTACTTGGAACATTGACAACCATAAAAAAGATTTTTAATAGGTGGGATAAGAGAGGAGTGTGTATCTAGTGTCCCCAAATATGTTTTTAAAATTGATAGAAATATCTAATTCTAATTGTAATGTGAATTCTGATACTGATATTCTGTATAAATGTCTTTCCTAGTATATGGTCCAGTGTGATCAGGTGCCTTCTTTGCCTGTCATTTCATTGACACTTGGAGGGAAAGCATACACCCTGACTGGGGAGCAGTATACTCTGAAGGTGAGATCATTTAAAAAATTTTTTTACCATTGTTTAGAATTACATCATACACTTTAAGAGCAAAATTGATAATGTAAGCTGACAAATTAAGCAGTGATGGAGTGAATATGCAGGGATAAACTTCACTGCGGGGATAAACTGAGTGGGAAGTAGTTCTTACATACATACATACATACATACATACATACATACATACATACATACATACATACATACATACATACATACTAGGTCCAGTTAAGATAAGAGTCTATTAACCTACTAGCATGTCTTTGGATTGTGGGAGAACTTCAGTTCCCAGGGGAAACCCACACAACCATAGGGAGACCATGCAAACTCCATGCAGGTAGTGTCCTAGTTGGGATTCAAAGTGAGTGCTAACGATTCTATGTGACCATGTTACACTCTGAATATGGGTGTAATCTGAAACCTGGTCTAAAAGGTAAACTTAGTCTTTGGTATTCACGAGTGTACTAGTCTTTGTATTGTACTGTTACTTCTACCCCTGTCATGCTAGAACATGTTGCATTACCCAGTCTGATTACTATCATTTTCCCTACAGGTAAAACAGGGAAGTCAAACTATCTGTGTGAGTGGATTCATGGGTCTTGACATTCCCCCTCCAGCTGGACCCCTGTGGATTCTGGGAGATGTCTTTATTGGCCCGTATTATACTGTCTTTGACCGGGCTAATGACCGTGTGGGTTTTGCCAAGGCCAAATGATTGAAACATCCTATACAATCACTGGAACTTTTCCTTGGGTCATCTGATCTTCCCAAGAACTCAATGTAATGAATTTGTGCCTGGCATAGGTTACTTCTACCTATGATGTGTTCATCACTGAAAATAGATTATTTATTTCTAATTTGTTTATGAATACTCCAAAACCCATCCAGCCAATACTGAGGTGGGATTAATTGTTTGAAATGGCTTTTTCTTGAGATACAGCTGGCTCCAGGGGTGTCTGCAGGCTGCAAAAGCATGCACATTCAGCTACAGTGGAGCGAAGAGACCTCTCCGCCAGTCAGATCGTCCAGCTGCCATCTCATGTCTATGGATAGCCTAACCATACAATCTTGAACAAAAACTGACCTAGTTAAGACGTGTATCGGCATCAATCTTTACATACACAGAACATAATACCTCAGCTGAACACATATTTATACATCCCTGAAGCCAACTTTTATCTTGGCGAAAAATCCATTTAGTTTTATTGCGCGCCACTCCCCCCCCCCCAAGATCGCTTGGAAGGAGGCCTATGCAAAGGTCTTATTGTAATAACTCCATATAACTGTTTCCTGATATGACTCTTATTGGCTGTAGAGGGTGACAATCTTCTGATTTCTTGAGGTAACCTTAGACGGTGTGCCACGTAATGCGTTAAAGCGAAATGTTTATCATCTGTCTTAAATGACTGCCAAGTGTGTCATAGCCAACCATGGAATGGCTCTTGAGATCAAACTTAATGTTTTCACATATCTGCTGTTTTGAAAATTCCAAGATTAGGTCTGCAAATAGTCCAATGAAATGAGGCAACATACCTAGGAGTCTGAAGAGTAGAATGTAACTTATTAGTTCTGCGTGTTTGAATTGTTCTCTATTAAACTGTAGATGTTTGATTTTTTTTTTACTTGATCTGGTGTCATACCAAGGTAAGAACTATTGCGTATTGCAGATCAGTGCATTGGGGTTGACTGCTCCATAGATTCATGCTGGGACTTGGGGCAAGAATGCATTGGAGAGATTTAATAGTTTCAGTGTTACAAGCCATAAAAAACATTTTTGGGAGCTGCTATAAACTAATTCTCAGCATAATCCCAATGGCTCTAAAAGAAAGCTTTGTCCACGGAGTCAGACTGGCGCTAGCTTAGGCGAGTTTCTGGAGAAACAATGGCATATTTGTTCGTTTTGTCCTAGTCATCCAGCAAGACCAATCTGATGAATTAGGAATCTGCCGTGTTTCAATATTCTGATCTTCTTTTAAAGTGATTTTGTCACCAAGAAGCGTGCGCGTGTGTCCGTGTCCAAGCTTTAAAGTCGACCTGTTCTCAAGTGTATCCAAACCAAGGACAGACATTTAATATATTGCAGTTTACTAGTCCTCAGAGGTGGTGGCTGCATTTGTTTTCTATTTCCAAACCAAGTACATTTTCTAGAACAGTTCACAACAAACCACCACTCCGGTTCCCAAGTCAGCTCACACCACGATCGCGTCCCCGGTGCTGCGCCTCCGACAAGTACATCCAAAATTAGCCGCACTCCACATGTCTTCATCCAATAAGAGTGTTTTTTGATGACAACAAATGCAGACTGTACAATAATCTCCTCAATTGGCCCTCGTATGTATGCATGTGAGATAGGGCCCTTAGATTGTAAGCTCCTTGAGCGTAGGAACTGATGTGAATATGCAACGTGCTGTGTAAATTGTTGGCGCTATACAAATACCTGAAATAAGTATGCTCGGCCTCCTTTTCGCTTTCCCCATTACGGCTTAGTCATAGAACTCTGAGTAAGCCGTAATGGTGAAACGCATAAGAGATTGAGCATACGTGGGGATTTTTGTATAGTGTGTATTTGTCATCATCAATAAAGACTTTTATTTGACGAAGACCTGAGGAGTGCGGCTAATTTTGGATGTACACGTACATTTTCTGCCAAGACAGAAAAAAAATGTCTTATTTCAAGATATCCAGTGTCTTCCTGATATTAACAAAGATCCTAAACAGGGTATCGGACTGCTTAACTATCTTTCTTGAACTACACAACCCTTCCCCCTTGTGTAATGTAGATGGGAAGGTGTTTTAGTCCAAAATAGTAGAGCAGCCTAGGGTGATAACTCTGCTTCTCTACTGATATTATACAGTTAGTAAGCATTGTCGCTAGGGATGCGCCGATACCAGTTTTTCGGTGTCTAGTACCGATCTTATATATATTTTATTTTTTCGGTACTCGCTAATACCGGAAGTACGGAAGCCAGGCAGCGTGCAATGACTTGCCACCTGGCTTCCCGATTACCAGGGGAGCTGTCTCCATGCTCCCTCGTCACCACGTGGAAACATGGAGCCAGCTTTCTGGCCAATCAGGAAGCTGGGCGCTGTGTATTGATGCGTTGCCCGGCTTCCTGATTGGTCGAGAAGCAAAGACCTTCATCTTAGAAGCTGTACTATTTTACACTATTTATGTTCCGTGCACTAATTTGTACTGTACAAGGACAACATTAAATTATTTCTTCTCGGACATCTGGAGGCAATCTGTATATTTTATACACGTTGAAGTGTGCTCCTATTTTAGCTGTGACTGGATCAAGAATTATACTTTTGGTCTTCATAACAAAGCGAACTGAGAGTAACAACCCCCAGGTTTTAGGAAAATTCACCCTTGCAGTGGGGCTACCCTGCACTGCAAGGGTTAACTGCTAATTGTTCTCTAGAGGCAAAAATAAAGAAGGAATACTGATTCTCGGCCCTGTGGTAGGGACTTCTCACCTCTCTCCCCTGCTGCTTCGACGCTGGTATGTCCCTAATACAGGTGAATGGATGTATTTGGAAAAGCGAGAATAATTTATTTAGGCCCACTGACATGGGATTGTGGCGGTACCGATGTTTTTTCTCTCGTTTCCATTAAATTTAGGTACTGTCCCTTTTAAGATGCTAACTGACAAATGTTAACTTACAGATTTCGGTGGGAAAAGGACAGGTTTCGGTGGGAGAATTCAGGCTCGTGTCTCTTCTAGAAGTTTCTGGACAGTTAGCCCAGGAGCTTATATAAAGCACGGTTGAGGGAAAAACGGTAATTCGGCTGGACTCTTCACAGCGAGCTACCGCGCACCCGCCCTTTAGCTATTTGTCGCGTGCTCCTTTTATGTGGTATGTCACTCTTTAGGAAGAGGGGACGTCTTGCTGGATGGTTTTATTATATTGCTCGAGTCGTAGTGGCTGGGCAATTTTTTGTGGTTATTTTAAGTTCAAGTTACAGTTATCAGTTTGAGTTTAATAATGTTTGAAATGATTTTAATATGGTAACCAATAAAGGGGCCGCGGCCAGTTTAAACCACAATGGGTGGGTGTTATGAGTATTATTATATTTAATTTTTTATAATATAAGTATGTTTATTGAAAGGGTACCGCCTACATTCCCATGATGTCAGCAGAGCTTAGACCGCCAGACCCTGGGAGAAAGCTCCGGGAACCTATCTAGTAGCCAGGTACAACAGAGGATTGGGTGAATATTTCTTTTTTGAGCTCCTAGAGGAAAAACAAGCAGTTAACCCTTGCAGTATGGGAGTAGCCCCAGGGCAAGGGTTAATATTATTTATTTTTTCTCCTCTAAAGCCTAGAGTTCTTCTTCAATGCGTATGCCGAAGGAAAATAAACACATTTTCACCATGTTTTTATCTCTTTAAACAGACCTGAACTAAAGCATGTTCTTGCCTTCTTTGCAATGACAAGTCTTTTTCCGCTCAGATTTTCTAACCCTGTGGTGTCAGCCCTTCCTACTTCAATTAATTTATTACAAATAGGGATATACCAATACTCGTATTGGTGCCAATACCGAGTATTTTGGCAAGTACTCGCCCAAATGATCCGATGCCTAGCCCGATACTTCCAGTATCAGGAAGCCCGGCAGCAAGCCATTACACGGCGCCCGGCTTCCTGATTGGCCAGGGGATGGCTTCCCTGCCAATCAGGAAGCCAGGTGGCAAGTCATTTCACGCCGCCTGGCTTCCTTAAAGGAGAACTATGAGGTGAGTGCTTTTCACACATCCTCATAGTTCTAGCCGACCTGTGACAATGAAACTGTCACAGGTCGGATCAGGAGGTGAGCGAACACATACCGGAGTTCGCTCACTTCTCGATCCTGACACGGCTCTCTGCCGTGACAAGGGAGGGACTGGATTCCCCCCCTCCCCTGTCCGATCCTCCAGCGCTGACTGGCGGAACGGACGGTGGGGGCGGATACAGCTGGCTCTGCCTCTAGATAGGCAGAGCCAGCTGTCACTCACGCAGCTGGGCGGATCCAGACATAATTGTCAGGATCCGATTCAGCTGCTGCGTCTCAGTATGCCATGAGCTGTAGCTCGCGGTATACTGAGCTTAGGGTGACGGGAGGACAGCAAAGTGCAAATAAGAGATGTTCATTGTTGGGGCTTACGTACACGTTAAGGGCTCGTTCACACGACGTCCGGATTCTGTCCTGACCAGATCCGTTCGCTCCTGCACTTAAAATGTATGCCTATGTTTTATGGGCTACAGTTCTCACGTGTGCAGTCCGTTCAGGCCACGACAGAAAAGATACTGCATGTCACATTTTGTCCGGTCCGGAAACGGTCCAAATACGCACGAATGCGTCAAAAACGCAACGAAAACAGACCGGACTGCAGCTAAGCAAAAAAAAAAGTGAGCTTGCAAATCCTCATATAAACTCCAAAACTGACCCTTGGAGTCCCTGAGCCTCAAGATTGGGTGTACCCAATAACGACGTCTCCTGCGAGCTCATTCTCTGCAGATTGCTGTAGCCAGCACCAACACCATGCCTACAAACATGTGATACATGTCTGATCACCAGCTTTTTTTTTTTTTTTTACTTTAATAGTTTTTTGTTTTAGGATTACAAACATTTTACATCAACAATTACATATTAAAATGATCACCAGCTTTGCATACACAAAGGGAAGTGGTTATTGTTACGAGAGGGTGGAAGTGGGAGGAAGAATCTGCCTACTGACAGCCCCACGGCTTAAAAAAAAAAATGAACTGTCAGTGTCTGG